CCATGGCCAGGACAAAACCGCATTGTTCCTCCTGAGTCCGAGGTTCAACTATCGGTCGAATTCTCCTCTCCAGTACCCTGGCATAGACTTTCCCAGGGAGGCTGAGGAGTGTGATCCCTGTGTAGTTGGAACACACCCTCTGGTCCCCCTTCTTGAAAAGAGGGACCACCACCTCGGTCTGCCAATCCAGAGGCACTGTCCCCAACCACCACATGCTGTTGCAGTGGTGTGTCAGCCAAGCCATCCAGAGACTTGAGGTACTCAGGGTGGATCTCATCCACCCCCGGTGCCTTGCCCTCATTCCAGCTTCCTACCCCGCCATCAGATCCAGTTCACCACCAGGTGGTGATCAGTTGACAGCTCCACCCCTCTCTTCACCCAAGTGTCTAAGACATATGGCCAGAGGTCAGATGAAACAACCCCAAAGTTGATCATTGACCTCCGGCCTAGGGTGTCCTGGTGCCACACGCATTGATGACACCCTTATCTTATGCTTGAACATAGTGGTTGTTGTGGACAAACTGTGACTAGCACAGAAGTCCAATAACAGAACACCACTCGGGTTCAGATCAAGGGGCATACACGGCAAAAGAACGATCTCCCCACTTTTTATACCTTGCCCACGGGACAACCAGAGACACATGCTCAGAGGAACGCAGCGCTCTGACCGGGGTATAAATGGTTAAAAGATCGGTCAAATAGACTGGTGCAGGACCATTAATGGCCTTGAACACAAACAGTAAAATTTTAAAATCTATTCTAAACTGTACTGGAAGCCAGTGAAGGGACTGAAGAACCGGGGTGATGTGAGCATTCTTTGGAGTGTTTGACAGTAGGCGAGCAGCCGCATTCTGTACAAGTTGCAGCCTATGGAGTTGGGACTGACCAATTCCAGTATAGAGGGTATTGCAGTAGTCAAGTCGTGAGCTAATGAAGGCATGAATGGCTTTTTCTAGGTCAGCTTGAGTCATTGATCATAACTGAAAAGGTCCTATTGGTCAGAAAAGAAACAAACCATTTAAGCACAGCACCACGCAAGCCAGCGCAATGTTTAAGGTGGGATATGAGGACTGTATGGTCCACGGTGTCAAAGGCTGCTGTGAGATCTAAAAGCACTAAAACAATGGTATTCTTTGCATCAAGGGCTGTAAGAATATCATTGTGCACCTTCAGTAGTGCGGATTCAGTACTGTGCCAGGATCTACAGCCTGATTGAAATTTATCGGCAACAGCATAAAGTCCAAGGTGAGACTGTAGTTGTGTGAGGACAATTTTCTCCATAACCTTGGACAAAAGGGCAAATGTAAGATTGGGCAAAAATTTGAAGGAAGTATGGGATCACGGTTAGGCTTCTTTAGAAGTGGCCTGACTACAGCATGCTTGAGGGCAGTGGGGACAATGCCCAGCCTGAAGTCCACCAGTAGAACAACGGAGTCCCCAGTCGGAGCATTTTCCTGCACCCCTCCCAGGGACTCCAAGAAGGCTGGGTACTGTGCACTGCCATTCGGCCCGTAGGCACAAATGACAGTGAGAGACCTATTCATGACCTGAAGGCACAGGGAAATGACCCTCTCATTCACCGGGGTGAACACATGGCGGCTAAGCTGGGGAGCTATGAGCAAGCCCACACCAGCCCGCCACCTCTTACTGCAGGCAACTCCAGAGTAGTAGAGAGTCCAGCCTCTCTCAAGGAGTAAAGAGCCCAGGCTAGGCGCAGAGAGGAGCCCGCCTCCCTCTAGCCGGTACGTCTCAACCTCCTGCACAAGCTCGGGGGGGCATCAAAGCAGTACCAAGAGCGTTTTAGAAACTATCTACAAAAACAGGATATTTCTACTGTGTAGAAATAGCAATGTTTGTGCTGGGATACATCCATATGTCTTATTTCATATTTTGAGATCTTGAGTACTAATCAACAATTTTAAGTAAATAATAAAAGAAAAATCACTTTTTTTGGTGCTGTAGAAGATGTGTGTTCGACACACAATGTAACAAGAAAAAACACAATGTAGCCTGATGAAAAGTTCACACACATACATACTCATAGAGCTCTTGACCTTCTTTGGGAGGTAAAGATTTATAATAATAATAATAATAATAAAATTTATTTATAAAGCACCTACCAGCTCAAAGAGCACTAGGTGCTACATCAGGAAAAAAGCAAAAAATAAATAAAATAATTTAAAACCAACATCATCAAAATATCAATATCAGAATAAAAATCAACTAAATAGACATATGACAAGCACATACATTCATCGATCTATATCGTAATCCCTGTCCACGGTGAGACCCCTCAGATAAGCTAGAGTAAAGCTACAAAAATAGAAGCCAAGTGGAGCCTTAGAGAGATGATAGAG